TGCCCCAACCTCTATTGTAATTTTAAAAACCTTTTCTACTTACTTGTAAGAAATGTTCTCTAAGATACAATGTGGACTTAATAGAACTTTAATCACATAAACCAGTATGCAAAATACTAAAAGTAAAGTCTAGAAATTTATTAAAATAAAAGCCTAGAAATTAAAAGAAAGACAACAACGAAAACTAAAATTCCAAGAAGACGAAGCAACTGTTTGTGGGTTGTTTTATTTATGTATAAACTCCAATAGATATCTTTCATAACCGTTCAAAAATAGATGCAACTCATTATGGCTGTTTTGTTAGAGTATTATTTTATTATTAAAATTTTTATTGAGAAAATGATTAGTCAATTATTATATAAAAAGTTAAAAATATTATATAAAAATTATTAAATTTTATAATAAAATTTTATTAAAAATTTGTTAGATTATTAAATTTATTATATTTAGTAAAAAAATTAATATAGAAAAAGTTGTTAATTAAATAAATTCAATATAAAATTAGTTATGGAGAAATTTTTTCAAATAAGTGAAAAAAATTTAAAAGTTAAAAATTATATAAAATAAATTTTAAAAATATTATTTTTACTTTTATGTTATTAAATAAATTGCACAGTTTTGGTTCTTCCGTCAGTTAAGTATGATGTGGCAGTTAAATAATTTCATGTGGCAGTTAAATAATTTCATGTGGCAGTTAAATAATTTCATGTGGCATTATTTTTTAATTTTTTTGATGATGTGGCACTAATATTTATTATAATTATGTTATATAAATAAATAAAAATGCCACATAGATTAATAAACATATTTTAATTAAAAACATATGAAATTACTTTATTACCCTCGTCCTCACCCTCATCCTCACCCTCACCCTCCCAATCCCTCTTCTTCCCCTTCATTCTTTCTCTTTCTTTCTTTCGGGTTTGGTGGAAACCCAGCCTTGCTGGGTTCGTCGACTAGCTAAGGCTGGGTTCATCGGAACCCAACAGATCTGGGTTTCGACGAACACAGCAAGGCTGGGTTCGGTTGAAACCCAGCAAGGCTGGGTTCGGTGGAAACCCAGCCTTGCTAGGTTTGCGACCAGCCAAGGTTGGGTTCACCGGAACCCAGCCAAGGCTGGGTTCGGTGGAAACCCAGCCTTGCTGGGTTCACGACCAGCCAAGGCTAGGTTCCGTCGAACCCAACTTTGCTAGGAAAGTTGGGTTCTTGTTTTTTCGTTGTTCTTTCGATTTTCATTTCTAGTTGTTAATAAATTTGGAGATTAATTTATAATTTGATTGTATTTTTGTTGAAATTTTATTGTATTTTTGTTGAAATTCGATTAGAGTTTGATTGGTATTGTTTGTTGAAGGGTTATTTTGATTTGGTAAGATTTGCCATGTTTGAGGTTTAAATGAAACCCAGTAGCTCAAGTTTCCCCGAGAAAAGAGAAGAAATGGGTGGTTTAAGATCAAGTTTCCCCGAGAAAAGAGAAGAAATGGGTGGTTTAAGATCAAGTTTCCCCGAGAAAAGAGAAGAAATGGGTGGTTTAAGATCATTTTTGTAGATGGAGTGGAGATGAGAGAGCATTCACAGAAGAAGAAGAAATGGGTTAAGATCGATTTTGCAGATGGAGTGGAGATGAGAAAGCATTCAGAGAATAAGAAGAAATGGGTTAAGATCAATTTTGCAGAGGGTGAAGATGAGAGACTAGTTTGCAGGCAACTGGGCTCCATTGGAGGCGTTTGGCGTGAAGAAGATTGGTGTGAAGAAGAAGATGACATGTCATAAAAAAAAAAAGTCCAAATAAGTGTCTTTTTAAGTTGTGCTCGCCATGTCATAAAAAAAAATATAAAAAATGCCATGTGGCCGAGTTAACGGCCCAAATTGATAGAAGGATTAACGGAGTGCATTTTGTATAGTTGAGGGATCAAAAAAGTGTAAAAAATTGTTGAGGGACCAAAAATGTGCAACTCACTAACGTTGAGGGACCAAATTTAGCATTTAACCAAAAAAAAATTTTCCACCGAATTAAACACCCCTTAAAATGGTTAAAAACGTCTGCATCTTTTAAACATCTCTGCATCGCTCCAAATGGTTGCTTCTTATCCATTTCAAATCTCTATATATATATAATGCTATCTTATGCATTAAATAGAGTATGCATTTTTATACATAGTATATAATATAATAGATAATAATATATAATATAATGATATATATTTATTTATTATTTATTATATAATTATTATATGCAATTGTTTATGAATAGACAATGCACTTTTTTTATTCTAAAGTTACATCATTCTGAACCAAATTGTTATTTATGTTGGATTTTATGTTTGTCATTAATAATA